TAATAGAAAATTTTTCCAATTTTAACCAGGTGATTTGATAAACATCTTAATCTACCTAAGCTTTCAATACTAACTCCAGGTATTTGTATTAATTTGACAGTTGTTGCGTGAGGGACACCAATATGCAAAAATTGTATACTGAAGAGCATCTTTTCTGCTTTAGCTCTAGAATTAATACCTGACATTTACTTAATGAGTTAAAAGTAACCCACAAATCACTACTGAAATTTTCATAATTACTTTTTATTAAACCATTGTTCAAGGTATTATAGTCGTATTATTTTGACAATTAAGTTATTATTTTGAAGATTAATGTTAATGCTACAGGCAAATTACAGATTGTAATTAATTTTGTCAATATTTACACAAAATTAATTACATTACTTTGCAATATTAAATAAATGGACATTTATATTATAAGAAAGTTTCATTGCTTTTAGTCAAACTTTCAATCAATTTTAAGTATCTTTCATAACACAATTTGGGAAGTTTGCAAAGAGCAAAATCAACAAATAATATACATATTTTACCATTACACTTTATTTAAAGGTAAATAAGGAGAAACTCTTACTTTAAGTGTACAAAATATCAAATTAATTTAAATGAATTACAAAGTGATTAAGTAAATATTTTTAAATAAATTTTCTTAATTGAAATTTAATTTTTCAGCAGTAAACTTGATGATGAGTGAATGTCAAAGTATCTTTACGGAAATTTTACGGTGTATTCGTATATAGATGAACATTTTAGAGAAACTTTTCGAATACTGAAAACCATTTGGACAAAGTTTCCACCACACCTCCATCCACACCACCTGTTGTTTTTCCAAAAAATTTTTGGAAAACCTTTCGTTTGATGAATTATAAGGACAAACTGAAATTGATTGAAGAGACATTTTCTATATAAATAAGATTGTTGACCAAATTGAAAACTGAAAACACAATTTCTAGATTATTTGACTGGAAACGCAACAAGAGAGCTTTTACTTCGTACATTGCAAAATAAAATGCTTCTACAAAAATGTGTGTTTAATAGAGAGTAAAAAACATAAAATTCAATTTATTGAACTTAATTAAAATTACAAATTAAACAAATTAAAAATAGGTTAATAAAAGGTCACAATAAATTACATTGTCATATTTGACGAGCGTCTGGGTGTGATTGATTTGACACTAGAGCCGACCTCGATAAATTGTAAAAACTAAAAAACTAGGAATTCAATAAAAAATATATTTAAACTTTATTTGAGGATTAATAGAAATTAGAAATATCTATTCCACTTTATCCTGAACAAAGTAATTTGTTTGTAGAAAGGAAATAGACAAGCACTCACATCTCAGTAATCTTAATTATATTTATTTTATAAAATATTTAATTCTTCTTAAATAAAGTACTCTAAAACCATGTAGAGAAACCTTATAGTTTGGAAGAAGGTGTGCTTTATATGCCGTATCCTTCAAGGGTTACCAGAATAAGTGACAATATAATTATGTCGACAAATATAGCAAATGCTTTGGTTAATGTCACTTAAAAAATAAAAAGTGACAAAAAACTTGGAACTTGAGCATTGAAAGTTTGTGCAGCCTTAGCTACTTCTGGAAAAACACAATTAGTCATCGCTTTTAATTTGACAGGCACGAATTCTAAGCCTGGCACTTGCAATCCAAACATTTTATATACGAAATATAAACTAACTCAATAAAAATTCGAATATTTCCTAAGACCACTGATGATGAATTCTCGGTAATACTCGTAAAAGTGTTGTATGGTCAGCCAAATTTCAATAAATTTAAATTCGTCAAATTTATATTCGAAATCTTCTAACGTCTGAAAAATCGTAAAATAACTGATAGTTCTACCACCAAAACCGCCAACAAAAAAAAAAAAGAGAAATATAGAAAAATATACAACCGGTTTTTGAAGCAAAAATAACGCCATTGAAAAATGTGGTCAATTTAATCTGTAAAACGTATACAAAAGATGGAGTGTCGGTACTAACCCTAAATTATTTGAAATAAATATGAGACGAAGTCAGTCTCTATTAAATTGCCAGGCATGCAGAGAGCAAGAAAACAAACTTACTTAATAATAACTTTAATAGTTAATAGTTTCCTATTTTTTTTAAGCATAAAATTGAAGATAGCACATTGATTTTTAAAAGCAGGACACATCAGTTCTGTAAATAACCTCATGCCTATCAGTAATTCTCACTCTCACACGAAGAGTCTGGCTTCCTCGTTTGGTACATTTTGAAATCTTTCAAATTTTCTTTGTTTACTCATTATTATAGTGACCAAATTTCGTGCTGCTCTTTATTCGTTCTCTGAACTTAATAAATGCCCTATGGGATTATCAACTTTAGAGAACTTTTCAGAAACAGCACTTAAGCTATACTTTTCCATATTGTAACATATCTTCCATTTTCCAAATATACGTGGTGTACATTTTCAGCAATGTCGTTTCTGGAATATGTAAAGCAAAGATTACCGTCGTGTCCTAATTTATGGACCTATATCCTAAAAACAACTGCTTTAAGTAAAAATTTATGTGTTTGCATTTTCTGGGCATCCACTGTTTGAGATCTGGTATGACCATCTTATGAGATCTGGTTATTTGTCAATCTACCATAAATGGTTTGCTGAATTGTAATTGCTGGCTCGTGGTTTTTTTTTCTATTCGAGCTAAAATCTTTACACGAAAAGTTTGTTTCTTCACGCAATTTTTTATCATATATGGACAGATAAATGACTAGATTAGATTGTGCAAAAGCCGCATCTTAGTCTTAGTGTTCACAGTCTGTATGCTTTCAATCCTTCGCCTCAAGGTTATTTTGTGAAACAAGGTGTGCCAGACAGAGGACATCCATGAGAATATGTGAAACTAAGCCATACTGCAGTACAAGCAAGTAAATATGGAAGAAAGTATTAAGGGTCTAATAAGAACATAATGTAAAAACTCTTTGCAAACCTTCACGTTCTTTGGAAAGGATAATCTAAAATGGCATTAGGTAATAATAAAAATATTAGGTAATAAAAAAAAATTTAAATTAAAATGTTGACCAGATTATTTTAACAGGCCACTTTAGGTATCAATCGCATATGAAGATTTCATGATAAAGAAACGGAATCACATACAAAAGAGATATGTTGCACATAAAGACAATATCAGTTAAAACCAGAGTTAATACCAAACAAAGAATTAGTGTAGCTAAATCCACCTGACATTCTAGAATTCTTGGGTCTAGAATAGATTTTATTAGATTAGATTAGTCTCTACTAGTGGATGACATTATAAAAATCTCCAAAAATGTTTAATCTAGAATATATTTTAATGGATTACTCTCTACTAATGGATGAAAACCACTAAAAATGGTTGGTATTTTATTGTTCAAGGATGATCATTGACAAAAAAAAACAGTGATTTCTTCTCCTCTTTAGTACCAGAATCACAAACGTCATTACAGTGTAGACCAAGTCTCACAGCATGACTTCCTCGTCCACAATGAACTGTCAGAACCGATGCCGTTGTACTGAACAGGTTTGAATTTAGTTGAAGCACCTGACTGTTACGTTTCCAGCTCAATTTAGGCCAAACAGATCTTGAGATCTGACAGGAATTTTTATTTATTCAGTTCTTTTTTTACTATACTCAGATATTTTTGTTTAATTGCCAGCTTAACGATTGTAAGTGAGCTACCACAATTAATATTGCATAATAAATTTCTTAAACGAATTAGGTTATGTTTAGAGTTTAATTATAATTAATTTTGCAATAAAAAAATATAAATATGTTTACAAAAAAAAAAAAAAATTGTTTACATTAAAATAATTGCAAATCGTACATTTGGAAATCAAATTATGTTGACCCATAATTAGTGATTTCAGTGAGTAGGTAACCAGCTCATGAGTGTTTGTTAACACAAATACCTATTTTTTTACCTTTACCTTTAACCAATTATAGTATGTACGCGCCTGCAAATGCGTCTAGAATTATAAATCCATTTGGGCAATGAGACGCACTTGCGTTTTTAAATACTCTTCGCCATGTACGACGAAAATGTTTGAAGAAAGCGTCCAAAAATTATGATTGAAACACTATATTGTATATATATTTTGTATGAAGTTAAGTATATATATTTAAATAATAGCTATACATACAAACTAATAACGGAAATAACTATATTTATATAAATATAATTAAATGAATTTCATAACCAAAAATACTTTGAGAAATTTTTAAAAATCCAAATAATGAAAATGCAAGTTACGCGCATGCGTAGCCAAAATCAATCAAAAATACTTTTTCAAGCACTTCTTCTGCTCTCGCCTAGGCTAAAACCTTGCGTAGGGCACACCATCGAACTCAGTTCCGTGCTGTTTTCAGTCTTTCAAGGCATATATGGCACTACAGAGCGAGCATACGTTGAGGCTTATACGTTGAAAAATGTTTTGAGCCAATTTTGAGTAGAGTCTCCGATACTCAAGCAAAAGTAATGTAAGAGGTCTGGACTTGCATACAAATGAGGCGCTTTGATATCGAAAATCGAAATGTAGTGGAGCGCAGCTGGAAAAAGTGTTTGGCTGCCTATGAAGAAATGCAATTGTTCAATAATGCTAATGGTCAATGGTAAATGCCAGAAGTGTACCGCGGGTTTGGGGTTTAATGTCGATTTTTAATTGTTTTGTCAACGAAAACTTGGCCAATACAGAAACTTGGCCCGCAAAGAAAAAATCACTCTACAAAATTTGAATACTCGTAGTACGAAAAATTTTTTGGAAAACGAAATACGGCTGCATAACCAAAATTATTTACTGCATGCGTGCTGTTGCGTTGGTCACTTAAAGTGCCACCTTGTCCATTGGAATTCGCTTCTTCTTCCATTATATTTCATTGCTCTTGTTGGCCATATATGCCACCGTAACTCTCACAAAGTCATAGTTTGTTATAAAACTGTTTTGAGGAGCGGCAGTATAAAATCTTGTGTACTTTTCCAATTGTTCAACATTGTCGCATTAACAATTTAATAGTGAACACCAGCAGCAGAGCAGTTGAGGACGCGTTCACTGCTTTATTTTTTAAATAAAAAAATTAATTAGTTATTAATTATTAATTATATTTATAAATAAAAAAAATGGCTTTCCGTATAAGATCCTTACTCGCGATCGGTTGTGCTCTGCTCGCTGTCTCCGCAACAGTCAGTGCAGCTGCCATTGATAATTCCGTTGGAGAGCCACGCATACAGACTTCTGATGAATTGATTACGAGCATTGTGGAAAATTGCTTCCATGCCAATGCTATGTTTTGCTTAAAGGAGAAAGTTTTGACATATCTGGATAATGTTGCTGGTGTTGAGGAGGAAGTTAGTGGACGCGCTTTCAATGACGATGTCATCGATAAAGTTATTTTGGATCGCGTTGCTCGGATTTTGAACACAAATGAGATACGTGTTCAATTACCTGAAACCGTTTTTGCAAGCTCTGTTGTTAGTTATCGTGCCGATCGTGGATTCGATTTGGAAGTACCCCAAACTGAAGGTAAGTACAATCATATTGAATCATATCAAGTCAAATAAATTTGCGCAAGAAGGTGATTTGATGTCATAAATCTTTGAATCGCTAAAAATTTAAAGAACTTTAGATAAAAAACCTTAAAGTAGCTTGATATATTAAAATTATTGCATGTGAGCTAATTATTTTTATAAAAAAAATATAATTATAATTTTATTACATAATAATAATAATAATTATTCATTATTTTTTTAAAAAAAATTATATATTTTTTAATCAATTATTTTTATAAAAGAGAATAAATTATTTTCGTACAATTATTTTTATAAAAAATATTAAAAATAATTGTATTATATGTTCAAAATAATCATAATCAAAACAATATATTTTAAAAAAATTAATTTTATAAAAATAGTGAATATAATTATATGTTTAATGAAATTAGTCATAAGCATTTGACGTGGGTAGAAATCTACCATAAAGTTCTGAGGTTGGAAATACCGATAAAATAATATATTATATGACATATACTCTATTATTCGAAGTGTGATAGAAATTTATTAAAAAGTTCAAGAATGACATTTTATTTTAACTTTTATGTATTATCTAGCACTACCGTACAAAGTTTAAGAACACCACTCTAATCTAATCTAAAACTTTAATTGTTACCTTGGACACATTTTAATTTTTTAAACAGTGTTATTTTTTAAAAAAATATACAGTCATGTCTATAATTTAATACAATATAGTTTTTTGACAAAAAATGACTGCCTCAAGATACAGAACCTAAATAAATAAAAGATACAATTTTCATATAATAATAAATTCATAATTTACTTATAGTTAAAGTTCTTCACTTCTAACAGATATATTTATTTTATAACAACAAAAATTTCTTGATATATTTTTACCTAGATATTTAACTTCATTTTAAGTACTATATATAAAAAATTTTAAATTTTTTTACTGCAATGGAAAACGCTCTCTAATCCTTTATATACTTTTTTCCATTTAATTATATTCTGAGTCCAGTCCACAATTAAGCGGAGAATCTATAAAAATAATACTTTTTTCCATTTAATTATCTTCTGAGTTCAGTCCACAATTAAGCGGAGGATCTATAAAAATAATAAAAAACCAAACAACTTTTAGATATAAAATAGAGCGGGGGGTTTAATATATTTTTTAATATCTTTTTTATATTTAATACAATAGACTTTATACATCGCAGAATACAATTATCTATTCTAATTATATATTCAATATCAAACCACTAATTTAATTATATTTGAGTAGAGAAGTAATATATTGTGAAAAAATTTTTAACCAGAATAATTACATTTTAGGTGAATTTTCAGGTTAGCTATATAGCTATTATGTACTCCGCTAAATATCCATTATCAGTGGTCTTTGCACATGTATTGGTTAAGTTTTTTGTATATTAAAATAATAATCCTATAGTGGAAGTTTAGTTAGAAAAGTTGTCTGAGAACTACAAAGATGTTCCAAATACGATATAAAAATTAATAAAAAACACAAACCTAGATAATCTATATCTTAAAAGTTTTTTTTGAAATTATTTAAACTATTTATAATAAATTTATTTGTATATAAATTATTTAGCATTAATCACCGTTATAATATTTACCATAAATATCTCCAGTATATTCTTGATTAAATACTCCACTTAGAAGTTATGAATAAGCTTTTTATATGAACGATACCTACCTATCTTATATGAAGTCACCGAGAGGATTTCACTTTTCATATATAGAGTTACATTTCATTACATGTTTTTATTATTTCATTATTATACTGTTTATGTATACTAATGTACTATTTATATTATTATTTTATATTATTATATGACAATAATATAAAATATTATTATATAATATTATATAATATATTATTTTATATTATTATATGACAATAATATAAAATAAGAATAATAAATAGTATTATATAGATAATATTATATATATTATTATATTTATATTATATATAAATAAAACTATATATAATTATAACTATATATATATTATTTCATTTATACTTATATATAAATATATAATAGTTATAAAATATAATAGAATATATATGAAATTATACATATAACTATATATAAAATTAAATAATTTTTAATAATTAAATAACATATAATATTATATATAAACTCAAAACTTTATCAAGAACTATGTTTATTAATTGTTCTTGATAAAATCCACTTTATTCAATAACTTCAAAATTAAAATTTAAAAATTAATACACAAGAAATTAATTTAATTAATTTAAAAATAGAATAAGAATAAATAAAAAATAATTATGAAAAATAATTTTTCAGCTCGTGCCGAAAAGAAGAATAAGGAGAAACTCTTCCTGCCATTGTTGTTGCTCATGAAATTGAAATTGAAGGTCATCATGCCCATAATTATGTCATTGATTGGACTCAAAGCATTCAAGGCTTTGATTTTGTCGAAAATCGCTATTAAACTTGTACTTGGCTTCCTCATCTATAATTTAATACAAAAATTAGGAGGTATGAAAATGACCATGATGCCAATGCCACCAATGCCTGCCCCCGAATATGGTGTACCAAGCACTACTGCCTCATCATATGACCCAAGCAGTTGGGAACCTCAAAGCGGTGGTCCATACGCACGTTGGGATGCACAAAATTTAGCCTACAGCTCATACCATCCTAGTAGCTCATCATACTCCAGCAGTACCGGTTCCAGCTATAGTTCATCTTCTTAAACAACAGATGAACTGAACATAACTTTAATTAGGCAACTTACTGTTGCCTCGACTGCTGATAGAGAATATTGTAAAGAAAAGAAAAAATGAAACTAAATGAAACTTCAAAAATGGACGGAAAAGTGAAAAAGGAAACAGAGAAAAATTCTAAAAACGATAAAGCCACGTAGTACATATTTAATTATAATTTATTTTTATATAGAATTTTAGTCATTCTTAACTCTTTCTTTCACTTCTTTTTTCTTTTTCTACTTTTTTTAAACTCAACTATTTTCTGTTATTAACTATCTCTTACTTTGTAAATTTTCTATTCATTTTCTCTAAAATATTTCCTGCTAATTTCGTTTCTCTTTCTCTATTATTTTATTTAATTTTTTATATTTTCTTCTTCTTCGAAATATTAAATTTACTGCGAACTTCGACCAAACCAAAACCCTAAAAATTTAAGTTAAAATATTTATTTAATTTATTGAAAGGCAAATTAAAAATAAACAGAAAATTGTTTGAAAAAATATTGTTACTTTATTTTTTATTAAAAATTTAATTGGCAACCCTGGAGGTATTTTTGCTATCCATTAGACCTTAAATAATAATACTTATGAGATTTCGAAAAATAAAAATTTTTCTTAAATAAATCAAAGAAAAACATTTTAAAGGCCACTGAACTTCATGGCCTCAATCACGCGTAAACATTTTTAATAACCCCAAAGCAGAAGAAAACCAATTACGGGGTTTATTTTTTTAATGGAGAAAAATCGTTAAATGGTACTCAAGATGTGATGCGATTTTGGATATTTAAAAAGAGTATAAAGACTTTTTTAGACAACTCTTTCAAGTGTAAACGAATTGTCAGATACATTTTACTTGGCATTAAAAATATTTACATGTCTAACAGGGCACAATAAGAGGAAAGTATTTATATATGAAAAGGGTTATGAGAAAATAGAACTCTTCTGGAATGATAACACTTAATTTTTTCTATATTAAAAAATTATGCCAAATAACTTACTTATTTTGCTCTAAGAATATTTCACACTTTCTTAACTCCCCCAGAACTGAGTAATATTATTTATTACATATATAGAAAGTTAAAAAAATTCATCCATAAAATTTGAATTTTAAAATAATTGAGTACTTATGAAGCAGATTTACAATTAATTTACTTATACATTTTTCTAAGCCCTAAAAGTATACAATTTTTTTATTATTTATTACCAGAGGAGAAGTAAATAATCCTTCCATATGCAAAGAGCAGTACATTAGCAGACACTCCCATTTTAATTATTTTTGAAAATAAATTCTATTATGTATCCAGTTTTTTTAACTCATACTGTGCTTATTCTTATTTATGTTAAAATGGTAATCTGTGGTTTCGAATATTTAAAATAATCTTATGCTCAATACTCATGAATGCCATATAGCGGTCACGACCACCTAGTATTGTCTGGTATTGGGCTTTAAATGCTGACTCTATTAGCTATTTTTAAATGAGTGTGATGAAAGATAAGTAAACAAATTCAACAGAATAATTTTGCAAAATAAATTAACTTTGTCAATAAAAGTATTTTAAATTTACAAAAATTCTGCTTTTCTCCCTAAAATTGGGCACTAGTTTAATAGTTTTAACTTTAGAGTCACTAGCTTTTTTAATTAAGAACATTAAAGTCACGGAGCGATTCAAATTTGAGCGCACATCTTATGACATGCATCTATATCGTCATGCATGTCTATAGAATAGTTTATCTAATAGAGTGTTTTTAAATTATTATTAACTATGAATTAAAAGTTATCTATTTTTCAAATCTTTCAAGCTGTGATATTTACCTAAAATAGGTATTTACAGTAACTGACCACCAGTTGCTGATTATATTCACTGGCAAGTCATTACTTCAGCCGAAACTCAATTTAATTTCAATTTTGTTTTTAAAATATCTATTTTTCATTTATATTATATTTCCACGTAATTCCTAATCACTGCATTTAATCTAAGATTTTATCTAAGACCTGTTTTTCTATAAATATAAAAACATTCACTTAGAGTAAATCAGAGTTGTAGTATATATTAAAACCCCTAAAAGCCCAAAGACCCTTAGCCCTAGGAGAACAAAGTGGATCTGAAGGCCCAAAAATTGCATAGAAATTTCACTTCCTCCAACTATAAGATAGAAGTTCTTCCAACTCTACTAGGATAAAAGTTGATTTTAATTTTAGTTATTAACTGTGTAAACTTATGTAAATATAAGTTCGGTACTTAGCTTAAGGAATGTGTCAAGCACATGTTATTAATACATTATATCTTGGAATCTAACCAGTTACAGGGGCATTCCTAGAATTTAGAAACACACTCAGTCTATCATGTTATAGAAGTATTCATACTGTAAAATTGGAATATTTCATAGGATTAGAGATAGAATGGAAAAATAAAAAGAGATGAATATGCGAAAGGGATGAGAACAGATCCAATTTTTATCAAATCTCAGAAAGCTTCGCAATGATACCACAAGAAAATTAGACACAGATTAGACACTGATCATAGCGTCATATATAATCTGCAAATATACCACACTTAGTGAGAGATACACACGATAAGTATTTGTCTAAATACTTAGCTATACCCTAATTCAGATTGCGCTACAATAATTTTTAGTAGTTCACAAAATTTTATTTTGACCTGAGAGATTTTAGAGATAGTAGAACTTAAAAAAAAATTGATTGTTGCCTTTTAAAATGATCTTCCCGTCTCATGTAGAATGCATAGATTTAGATCCTCGTATGTGATCCTCTCAGTTTGCGTTGTGTACCTTCCTCTTCTTCGTAACAAAGTCTGCAGCTATCGTCTCTAGCAATACCTATGTTCGATGGATGCTTTTTTACTGCACAATGCCCTGTGAGAAACCCTATGAAAAGTCGGATGCCACTTCTGTACAGCATTAGTAGCTTAAAATTATTTGTTCAAGAATAATGTTCAGGAACTGTAGATTTCCCTAGTCCAACTTCGCATTTCGAACTGTTGATTACCAATCAAACAGTTCTTAGTTTAACAATAACTTAATATTAGGTGAGGCTTTATATACTTAAACTAATCATAAACAATATTTTTCCGGAACATTTCGCATCAAATGTACCTACTAAATCAACCTTTATTTGTTTGTGTGAACATATTCCAAATTTTTCTTTAATCAAATATAATATGCCACAAACATCAAATAAAAAATAGGTAAATTTTAACATAAACTTAATTTTAAAAAAATCTTATAAATTTATTTATCATTTCCAAAAATGCACTAAAAAAAACAATTATATTATTCGCTCCGTCGGTTGTCATCTTAACTAATATTTCGCACTTTAAATATTACCCGACTAAAATGGAGCGTCAGGCATATATGAGTACAGGTCGCCTTTTAGAATTGGCCAGAATCAAATTGGAGACATTAATTGCTGAGGGGAAACTCCACCCATTAAATGAGTAAGAAATTATGTTGTATTTATTATTTAAACATGCTTCTACCTAAATGTATTTAATAACAGTAACAGCTTAGATGATTCCAATTCCTCACCAACAATTCATACTCCATTAAAAATAAAGAAAAATAAACATAAAATGAAAACTAAAAAATCATCCCAAGTACCAAAAGTGGAGAAGCTAGATATGACGACAAAGAGCATTGTTGAGAAGAAGGAATTGAAAAAAGGCTCCAAAAAGGCATCGAATCTGCTTCAATGTAAGAACGGAAACTCAGATGTGGAAGTTACAGCTGAGAAAGAAGCTAAATCGAATTTAAATGTCGATATACAACCTCCTAAGGTTTATAAAGATTTTCTTGAGATTAATGACTTTGAAGGTATTCTTGGCAGTAGGATCATATAAAATATATAATAAGAAACTGTTAGTAAATAAACAGAAGCCAACAAAAGAAATGTTTTAAGTACTGGCAAGAGTTTCTTAATCATTTCTGCTCAAACATAAAACATATTTCTGAAAATAGTTAAATTAACCCAATTTTACATATGGTCATAAGTTTGTGTGTCTTTGTAAAATATGGGTTATTTATCTCATCCAATAAATTAATAAATATATAACATTCAGTACTACAAGTTTTATTACGCAGACCGTATTTGATCAATCATATTTTATGTTAAGTAAGACAATATTTATTAACAATTTTTATAAATAGCTACAGTAAAAATATATACATAGGTTGGTGTAGCTAAACGAGCAGATCAAATCATGCAAAGACCAGCTAGTTGGCCGATGCCATGTATAGACCTATAAGTCCTTAACGATATTAGGTGAGAGTCCTTTCAAATTAGTAATGAAATTTAGCTTCTTAAAAATTCTAGATTTAAATAATTTTAGTCGAATTCTTGAGAGACCCCGATAATTATATGAAATAATTATGAAAATATGTGATCTTTAATCAATTTTAAGAAATCATTCACTCTAGTATCATTGACAAAGCTTAGTGTTTCGAATATGCTTGCTGCAAAGAACTTTAGTCAAGTTCTTAGGAGAGCTTGATAGTGAGTTTCCGTTACAGAAGATGCCTGTGTCATGAACGAATTTTAAAAAATATATCACTTCAATTTTAATCAAATTTTTGAGAGATCCAAACAAATTTATGCCTGGATATAAGTTTCATTAACGAATTTTTAAAAATAGTTTACTCTAATATGATGTATGTAGCTTAGTTACTCAAAAACTTCAAAAAATCATAATTTTTAAAGAATCAGAGAGAAACAAAAAATATTCTGGAATCTCTTTAAATTCGAGTTTCTTGCAATCGTCACTGCTAATGAGATTTAACTTTGTCCACATACTGCAATCAAATGGTATAAGACCAAATAGTTCCGAGACCATTCTTCAGTTCTTTCAGCGATTCTGCTATTTGTCTTTTATTTTTTAATATGTATTTGACTAGTTGCATTATTAGATCGCATATACGACTGAGAGCCTCGCTTTTTATGTTCTCTGTAAGATTGAGGCCAATTTTACCAATATC